CCCCCCCCCCCCCCAGCTGCGAAATCCCGGCCTGCCCGTCGAGCAGAGGCCGGAGCGGGGAAGCCCAGGCGAAAGTCCCGAGGCAGCTCCTGCCGGAAAGGCCTTCGGGGCCGGAGCGGGGCAGGGACGCCCAGTGGAGCCGCTTCCTACCTGACGTTGGTGCCCTCGATCTCCAGCACCAGCGACTGGATGTCATTGTCGGTGATCCGCTTGATGTGGCCATTCCGCACCTGCGAGGGAAGCGGGAGGAGCAACCGTCGCCCGCCTGGCCGGACCCTCCGCCGGCAGCCTCCCCCACCCCGCGCGGCCTGGCCCGCTCAACCGGGCTGCGCCAAGGCCGAGGAGGCCGGGCCCTTGCCCGCCGGGCCCCGCCACCGGCCGGCACCTTCTTGTCCCAGATCTGCAGCGGCTTGCTCCCGATGCTGTAGAGGATGGACAGGAAGCCGCTCTGGAACGTGTTCTTGAACATCCCGTCGCCGCGGGGCTGCTCCGCCGGGGCGCCTCACGACCGGCCGCCCGTCAGCCGCCTCGCGCGCGCCTCCCTCACGCCGAGGCCCCGGGCGCGGAGGGAAACCAGCGCCTCCTGCGTCCCAGGAGGTGGAGGAACCGCTCCGCCAGCGCCGGCCGCCTTGTGTGTGTGTGGGGGGGGGGGGGCGTCGCCAGGAGACGGACTACTTTCAAACGGGACTCGTTTCGCCTCCCTCCCGCTCTGTGTTGTGGGAGATCTCCTGTCGCCGCGGCAACTGGGGGCGGGGCGAGGGGCTCACAAGCCCCGCCCCCGAAATTCAGAAAGGGCGAGGGATTCGCGGAGCCGAAAGACGGGGCTGACGGGCCTCTAAAGCAGGGGCCTCCGACCTTGGCCACTTTAAGTCTGGAGGACTTCAACTCCCAGAATTCCCCAGGCAGCTTTGCTTAAGGTGAGTCTTAAGGTGGCCAAGGTTGCAGGCCCCTGGTCTGGAGGGTGAGCAGCCTCCGTTTTCTCCTCTGAATGGAAAAGTACCTTGTTCTGCAGCTGCGCAGCCTGAGGGAGGGGGCTGCTCTCTCGCCCAGCACGTTTCTCCTGCAGGAGCAGCAGCAGCAAAGCTGGCTGAGGAATTCTGGGAGTTGAAGTCCACAAGTCATAAAGTGGTCAAGGTTGGAGATCCCCTGATCTAGGATAACTCGACCTGATAAATGTTATCCATTTTTGTCACTGGAAATAATGTTGGCAGCAAAAGCTGCCCCAATAGCTGGCTCCCATGAGCGGGAGGGGAGGTGGGGAAGGAGGGGGCCTGGGTCACATAAAACCACTACCAATGCACTGGGGGGGGGGCTGCTTCTGTCTCTTGCCTAGGTGTCAAGGGTGCTTGGCTGGGCCCAACCCTGGCTTTCTGTGGCTTCATTCCCCGTCAGGACGCCTGGAATGGGCAGCTAGCCAGGCAGAGGCCTTGCAGGGGCATCTCATCCCACACCTGCAACCAGGCAAGCTGAACTGCTGCCAGGTGTCCAGGCCGATTACTTTCAAAAGTCCTGGCACAGATTGGCCTCCACTACAATTTCTACTCCTGGTGTGGTTTTCTCTTTAATTTGAAGGCATTTGAAGGAGCCCTTCTTGTTATTTGCAGCAGCTTATGCTGCCTCTGATACCCAGGTGAGCTATGAGGATACCTCATCAAGATACACAAACAAGCAAGCCCAAAGCAAGCAGAGATGGGCCCTCCTTCCAAGTTAAGTGTTTCTAGCCCCAATGAGGACTGAACCAGAGGTTGCATTCAGCAGGTTCTGACCAGTTCTGGAGAACTGGTAGCGGAAATTTGAACCGGTAGCAAAAAAATTTGAATCCCACCACTGGACTGAACCCCTCCTCAACCCATTCATTTCTATTAAAAGCAGGTCCTTTTGCTGAATTTTTCTGTGGGACAACACCTGCAGGGGACAGGAGGGTTGTGAGTTCTGCAGAAACAGCACAGACACACAGAGTGCAGCTCCCCCAGAAATTCCCTTTCCATTTAAGGAAATAAATAGGATGCAGTAGATGTGTTATTGTACTGGGACTGAGGGCACCTGGGAGCTTTGCTTCCCGCTGCTAGTTTTGCAAATGCATCCTTTGAACAGGGACCCTACAAAGCCAAGGGCCTCTCGACTTCCCCAAGATGAACATTGTCTATATCCCTTTACAGGAACTCCTTCACATATGACAACTGAAGCCAGAAGTTCTGTTGCTAAGTGAGACAGTTAAGTGAATTTCACCCATTTTATGACCTCCTTTGCCATAATTGTTAAGTGAATCACTGCAGGTGTTAAATTAGTAACACAGTTGTTCACTGAATCTGGCTTTGCTTGTCAGGTCACAAAAGGGGATCATGGGACATTGTAACCGTCATAAATATAAGCCAGTCATCAAGTGACTGGATTTTAATCACGTGACCATGGGGGATGCTGCAACGGCCATTAAGTGTGAAAATCAGTTGCAAGTCACTTATTTTAGTCCTGTTTTAACTTTGAACGGTTTCCAAATGAATGGTTGCAAGCTATCCCCTGGTGCTTCTTCTAAGCCAGGGGGCTCCAACTTTGGCCAGTTTAAGACTTGTGGACTTCAACGCCCAGAGTTCCTCAGCTAGCAAAGGGAGTTGAAGTCCACAAGTCTGAAAAGTTGCCAAGGTTGGAGACCCCCTGTTCTAAGCTCTGGGAGCAAAGAGCTGGTGAAAAGGCTGAAGTCTTGCATCCTTCCTGAATGTTCCAAGAGTGCACAAACCTTGCAAAGTGCCCCATCACCCTAGCCTTCTAGATCAGGGGTCGCCAACCTTTTGGACCTCAGGGACCACCACTCATAATTTTAAATCTCGCAGACCAGAGATCCTGGGAAAATCCCACAAAAAGTCTGCAGGAAAATTCCCCACCCCGTTTTCCTACTGATCGATCGTTCTTTATTTGGGATCGCAGGATACCGTCTCCAGCTCCGTTCTCGGGGGGGGGGGGGGGAGAGAGAACGGGACTTTTGGCTTCATGCAAGGAAAATAGCAGAAGCAGCAGAAGTCTTTCTTTCTCTCCCCCAAACTCTGCCAGAGATGAGTCTTTGCTGGCGCAGCCTCTTGGAGCAGGAGGCTTTGCAGGGTCCTCAAAGACTCATTTCTGGTGGAATTTGGGGAGAGAAAGGAAGACTTTTGCTGCTTTCCTTGTGTGCAGCCAAAAGCAGAAGAAGAAAGAAGCGGAAAGAAGCAGCCCGGTGGCCAGGCCAGACGAGTGGGGCAAGTTCCCCCCTCCACCCTTTTTTCCCTCCCTCCCTCCCTCACTACCTCGTGTTCTTCGCAATGCAAGCAACACAAGCCTTGCGTTCCTGCGGGCCATGTGGGTGGCACAGCCTTGTGTTCCCGCGCAGCCTGGATTAATTTCTTTGGGGGGGTGTGTGCTTTGGGGTGACATTTCTCTGCGGACCACCAAAATTTTCTCGCGGACGACTGGTTGGTGACCACTGTTCTAGATTCTGAAACACCTGACTACACAAATAAGGGCTGCTTCAAACAGCCTGAGCTACAGGAGATAGCAGTTTCATTCTCATTCTTCCCAGGCAGAGGGGGGGGGGGGGGAAGAAACTTATAAATGTATTAATAACACCAGGAATTTATACATTTTTAATAAAGGTGTTTTTGTTTTAAAACAAACTTGCAAACCACCAAGGCAAGAGAGAAAGAGCCACAGCTCAGACTACTTTGAGAGCCCGAGGAAGACTTTTCCTTCTTGCCCCCATTAGAAACTCCAAATAGCTGGGAACCAGAGTGGACTGTCCAGGAAAGCAGCTACCGAATTGGTCTGCCAAACTCAGCTAAATGCTAAATGGAGGTCAGCAGTAAGACATTCCTCTTAAAACCCCACGCAAAACCCAAACCGGCCTTTCCCTTCAGTGAAGCTTCGGAGATGAGAGGAAGGAAAACACAAGTTTGTACATAGAGATTTATTGGTTCCAGTGAATCGTACAAATGGACCTGACCTGATGTCAATGCCAACATATCATTACTGGGATATGGAATGTAAACAGATGCTTCAAATAGAAACAGTCTAACTGCATCATTTAAAATTAAATATCTGACAATGTAATCAAGAAAAAAATTCTGCATTTAGGCATGGTGACAAAAAATGTGTGAATTTGGGTTTATGAAGTCACCAGAATCACACAATATAATCTCCCCAAAGGTGGGGTTGAACTAAAGGGCTCAAAAGAGACCCAATGGGGGGAGGGGGAGGGGGAAGAAACCGAAAGGAGCATCTCACCCACCCACCCCCAGGGAGAGGACTGCGCCCCAAGGGCTCCAAGGCAGGGCTGGACATGTGCAAATGCGACAGGGCACATTTGTTGCAGACCAATTCTGAGCAACCCCCGGTTTCTGCTTCCACAATCTGACTGCTTTCTTTGCAGAAACCCCTCCTCTTTGCTTCTTCACATATTCAAACCTGCTGTTGTCAAAGCAATGCTAAATTTGACGTTGATGGGAATGGCCCCGTTGGCTTTTTTTAGCAATAAGAACATGCCTCACTAGAAAAAAGCTCTTGTTCTGTCTCAAAGAGCAACTTTTCTTCAAGCTCAGGCTGGCAGTTCCCTACAAGGGAAAAAAGTAACTGGGTTTCCCTCAATGGCTGCCTGTTCTGAATGGGTCTTGATGCAGATTAACTTGACCGACTCAATTCATTACCAAGACTTCTTGTTTGTGGGGGGGTGAAGGGCCCAAACCACCGGAGAGGAGGGGAGGCCTCCCCGTGCACAGGTCTGCACTTGCTAATGACCCGAGCAGGGTCTGTCTCTAGGCAGACAGGTTACATCCCAGTGCACATGGGAGGGGAGAAAACGAAGGTGGCCCAACGGGAGGTTAGGAAAGGCAGATTAGGAAACTGCAGAATCATCCTAGAGTCAGTCATGCAGACCTTTGGATACCCTCGGATCCATGTAAATCTTACACAGCCATTGGGATCAGGACTTTGGTAACACACAAAGAAAGTTGGGATAGCCACAAGTGCTGAAGAGAGAGGGCAGCTAAGCAGCTACGCTCTCTTCAAGATGAGGCTTCTGCTGAGCAGAGAGGGGCTGGGTTCATCATCCCTTCCTTAGGTGACAGAAGGGTGTGTTTTTATCTGTAAACCTCTGGAATTACCCGTTGTTACCCAAACTTCATCGTGTGGCTGTGAGGCTACTGGAGAGCACAGGGCTGTCAGAGCCAGGCTGGGATTGCTCCTTCACAACTGGGTCTGAGGAGATAAAAGAGAGGAGAGTTGCTGGAAGCCAAAGAACCCATCGTAATACACCCGGCTCTGCTCTGGGGTAGCGGATATTTCCAGCCTGGAGCTCCAGGAAACCCAACCAGCCAGACTTATCCAATGCAAACATTTCTGCCAGGAGACCTGCCGCACCTGGCAATTTGGAGGGGAAACGATGCTCTTCAGCAAGAATTCACCCTTGAGCAATAATTCATCTTTGACTTCGTTTAGGTAGTTCATATTTAGAAGAATAGTATCAGACACTAAGATCATCTGTGATGAAACCAAGGGGTATCCCTAGAACTTTTGAGTTTTTAAGAATTTGCTTTAAACTATTTTAATGCCTTCA